TAAAGATTCATTAATAAAAGTGATCATTTTTAAACTTTAATAACTTCATCAAAAAGCGAGTAATTAAAAAAGTAAACTGTAAATCTGAAAGAACATTATTAAAACTATCATTTTCACGGTTTAGTTTGTTAAAATTACCAAATTTGGAAGACTAGATAGAGCTCAAAGTTACACTAAATCTTTAATGAGTATAGATTTTATGCACTATATAATATTATACTAAACAAATTATTGTTATTGAATTATTGAGCTTTATATTATATTGTGCTGAACAAATTACTGTTATTAAATTATTGAGCTTTATATCATATTGTACTGAACAAATCACTATATTGGAAATTATTGAAATTAAATTATAAGTATTTTTACTTTTTGTTATTTTGAATTTTTAATTGTTAATAAATATTCCTTACTCGTGAGAAGAACAAAGTAAAAGAGTCTTTGTTATAGTTATTACTAATTGTATTATCTCAGTTCTAGAAAGCTTTACATAAGTATAGAATTATCCTTTTAAATCCTCTTTATTATTTCTTTATTTTCTTTTCTCTTTTGACCTTTACTCTCCCACAACTTTCTCACATTATTATTCCTTTTTAAGTAAATACAATTTTTGTAGAAATTGACATAGACCTTAGATATCTCTCTTCTCTCTTAATATTTTCTTTATCAGTTTATACCCCTCTCCCAATTCAGGTTCTTGTTTGTAAGCTAATTTAACAATTAGTAAACAAATTTGTAACACTAGTATTAAATTGATAATTTTTATAGTGCTTCTGGCAAACATACTTAAGTTACTATAATATTGATTCAAGATTTATATAATACTTATAATAAAGATGCTGAAGTAATTATACAAAAAATAAGAATACTTTGTTAAAGAGATATAAAAAGGAGTTTGCACTTGACTAAAAATATTATTATCAAAGACTTGTTCTAATCTAATTCTAATAACTATAATATATGTTGTTTTTATACATATTCAAACTATAATTTGTTAGCTATACAAACTCATGTTCGCTAATTTACTTAAATTCTATTGATCCAATATTCACTTATTTGTTCATTTGTTCATTTATTATATGTTTATTTACTTATTTGTTCATTCACTTGCTTATTTATTTACTTGTCTCACATAATTAAATTCTTCTAATAAGATAAAATATTTATAATCTAATAATATTAAGTATAAATAATTCAGTAAAATATTTAATCAAAGTTCATTATATAATAATATAAAAGTTTTTAATTTTATTAATAAATATTTTTTATTTTTATATTAAAATAAAAATTATATAGTAATTAACAGAATTATGAAAGTATGCATGCAATTTTATTAATAAAACATAGTAAAAATTAAAATTTTTGTTTTATATAAAAGTTTTTAATTTTATTAATAAATATTTTTTATTTTTATATTAAAATAATAATTATAATTTATATTTTAACATATATTTTTCTGGATTTTTAGATTTAATTTAATTAAATAACTTTGCCAAATTAAATTCAGAAAAAATATATATTAAAATATAAATTATAAAAACTTTTATATAAAATAAAAATTTTAATTTTACTATGTTTTTTATTAATAAATTACATGTGTGATTCCATAATTTTTGTTAATTAATATATATAATCAAAATTATCAAATCAATTAATACAATTAATTAAGTCATATAATTCATATAATACAATTAAGTTCAAAGATAAAAAATAAAATTTAATATCAATAATTATAAAATTAAGTAATAATATATACAATAACTTTTGATATAACAAAAAAGCCAGGTTTATTATTAGTAATAAATTCATTATATTGTTAGAATTTATTATGTTGTTTTAATTCAAGTTCATTATTAAGATTTAATTATAATTTATTATATCAGGATTGACTAATAAATAAATTTTATATTGCTATTAAATTTAAATAATCAAATTGAAAATACTTGGTACATAATAAATTCATTGATGTTATCAAATGCATAGTAGCATTTTTGCAATAAATATTGAATTAATTTTACTTAACTAGCAATAATAATAATCCAAATTTAAGAATTGGGTATTTTGTCTTCAAATATTTAGATAGTTGATTTTTTGTAATTTATTTTTTATTCGGTGAATTTTAATCTATCTCTTTATGGTGAAACTTATTTCTTTTGTTTAAAGATAGAGAAAAATCTGGTATTTGGTAAGACGTCCCGAACATGAAAAAGAAATTTCAACAGTAATAAAGTTAGCCATAAACGCGAGAAAATCTTGATGACACTCCATTTTGAACAGAAGATTATGATGCAAAGTAGCCACTAAGATACAAGTTTCAAAGGTCAAAACTGATTTATTGCTCGCTCTACCATCAAAATATTTCTACAGGTGACTTCGCATAAGTAATAATAATAATAAAATACCTTATAATTGCAACCAGATCGTTTGTTGACCCTTACGATATGAAAGCAATGTGAGAATCATTAAAAAAGTTATATTATTTTATTTTAACATTTTGAAGACAGCTTCAATGAGAATATTTCAGAATGGATTTCATTTTTACGATAGCAAAATTAATGAAATTTTTTATAGTACCAGGCAAAATTATGCTCCATAAAATTATCTGAGCGTAAAATCATGAATAGCCAAAACTCGATATAACGATATGGTCGGGACGATTAGTAAATCGAAAGAAATTTTGTGAGTGTAATGTAGATTATCTTTTCCATTTACAAATAATGTCAAGAACCTACGCACAACGCGCCAAAAACTTTCCTCAAAATGAAGTTGCGCGCATGTTACTAAAAATTATCGAACAGAAAAGAACAAATTTGTGTGTAGCCATTGACTTGACAAAGAAACGACAAGTATTGGAAGTGATAGAAAAAGTGGGGCCGTATGTTTGTTTGATCAAGGTAAGTAAACTTAACAGGGAAGGAAGGGAAAGGATAAAAGTTTTTGAAGACTAAAAGGAAGAAAGAACAAATAGTAAAGATAGTAGTGGGTCCATTAAAGGAAAACTTCGTTTCAGTAAGGCAAAAGTGTTATGCTTCTTCAATAATGAAGGCATTTTAGATGTAGATGTTCTGCTCGATTTTAATATCCATATTAATTTACGTTGAATATAGACTCATATTGACATTATTGAAGACTTTGATCAAGGATTGATCGATGAATTACGCATACTGCAGGAGCGATTCAATTTTTTAATATTCGAGGACAGAAAATTTGCTGATATTGGTGAGCTTTCTAAATTTTCGACATGTTAAATACATTTTTATACAAGTAAATATTTTATGCGTCTATTCTACGCAAACAAAAACAGGCAACACAGTAAAACTACAATACTCTTCAGGAATTTACAAAATAGCCGAATGGGCACACATCACAAATGCACATCCAATACCTGGCGACGGGATCATTAAAGGGCTAAAAGAGGTTGGTAAACCGTTAGGCCGTAGTCTACTGATTCTTTCTGAGATGTCGTCGGCCGGAAGTTTGGCCACTGGTTCATACACGGAAGCAGCGATAGAGATGGCACGTAGACATCGTGATTTTGTGATTGGGTTTGTTGCTGGGAGAAAATTGACCGGAAATAATTATGATTCGAAAAACCAAGCTGATAATGATGTAATAGATAACGATGATTTTATTGTTATGAGTCCGGGTGTTGGGTTGAGTGATGCAGGTGACAAGTTAGGACAACAGTATCGTAGTCCAAGAGATGTTGTTTTGAAGTCTGGAAGTGATGTTATTATTGTTGGGCGTGGGATTTATGGGGAAGGTCGTGATATAATCGAAGAGGCGAAAAGGTATCAAGAAAGTGGGTGGAACGCCTATTTGGAGAGATTAGAATTGCAAAGTAATAAATGATGTAATATGAATTCAGCTATTTAAATCATTCTATAAAAGCATTAAAAAAGGAGAACTTCATAAATTTCGAATCATTAACAACTACATATATATATAAATTTCGGAAATTAAAGAATAAACAATTCTCGATCCCAATAATAATCATCAACCAATCATAAGCGTCCATCTCCAATCCCACAATTTCCACATGTTCGTATTGTATCACCCAGTTTCCTATAAATACACTTGATCTCCACCACCTATTTTCTTCATACTTACCTGCCTGGGTTCGGCCACGATCATGAAGGTGGTTGGGCAAGTGATGGTTGCTGGCATTGCACAGCGTTGGCGACCGCTGCTTCGAACGTCCTACGGGATGTCTCGACAGGATAATTTTTGTGTGTGGGGTGTATCGAGTGGTTCGCCGCTGGTCGCCCCTTACCTTAATAATTTTAGCGACTGGGGGTGTGCGAGGGAAAGAGAAGCAGGTGTTTGTTTTTAGAATATAGAAACCAAGGATCTAATGCTAATTAGTGTGTGTATGTTTTTTGTTCGACGACATTGAAATATTAGTGTATCGTCATTGTTATGACGATGATCTTTGAATTACGTAATTGGCAAAGGAATTAACTTCGTTCGTGATGAATCTAACTGTATTTATTCACATAAAGATCAAAATCCATACCCATATTGGCTTCTAAATCATTCATGTTTCAAAAATCGACCAACCATCACGATAGTGATTAATTAACACTAGTAAACAAGTGACAACTACAATATTATTACTCTCAATTTTCACTCAAAGCACATTTAAATCATTAATATCGATCCTTGATTTTCTCGTAAAAAAAAAGTTCGATTCTTTTTATTAATTTAGAGTCCCATGGTTCTAATCAATCCGTTAAGTCATTGCGAAATAAAAAATTGCCCAGACATTGATTTTCTTTTTTTTAAATAATAATTTCGATTAATATTTGGGTAGCATAATTTTGGGGGTCATTTTTCGACAGAGAGATAAAATTATAAACCCCTAAATTATTGACAGTCAAGCTATCCCAAATAAGAATCAAAACCGACCGACCAAATTACATAGCGATAGGCCGATTTACATTTGGACACAACATAAATTATAAAGTAGGCGTTATAAATAAATTATTAGCACCATGCATACACCCGATCCAAAATTAATAAGCTAAATTCGACGTTTTATCAAACATGTCGTCGAAGGACCTATTACCATATCACATCAAAGACAACGATGTTTCCCATACACAATCTCCAGATCTATACAATAAAAGTTGTATGGTTCTCAAATGCACAGTCAAAAAAGACACACTCAGCTTCTTATCTTATATTGAATCTATGATGTGTTACTATTGTGTATGTATTTATGTCAATTGCAGATGAATTTTGAGACAATTCTAAACTCCAAATCGATCATGAAGAACTGAAACTAATTTTGTACGATGCAATAATGTGTGCATTTATGCATTTGACAAATTAAAATAAATCCTTGGCAGTTCAGCACTGGATCCCTGCAGTGAAAGCAAAATTTTCAGCTTTTTGTTTCATTGATATATATGTGTACATCGCATCAATACACATATTTCGTCAAATAAGAGAAAATGAATTGATTGTATTATGATTTTATGTAAATGTGTATGTGTATGTGTGTATGTGTGTGTGTGTATTGCGTAGTAACAAAACACGACTGGAGCTAAAAATAATCTGAAAGATATTTTGTGCACGCCAAAGTTTAGAGATAAAGGGGTATTCAAATTGTTACATATATTTTTGTAACTTTTATTGGCGAGAAAATAAAGACCGAAAGTGAAAAAGCAGAACCGGGATACTTTATTCAATGACCGATAAACTGTACAAGAGATCCGTAGCATTTACGTTATCAGGCATAATTATCTCTACATATTACCTTTGCATTTATAATATTTACGAGCAACACGCCTACAATTAAACCTATACATTCGAAATCCAAAATGTACAAGTCCTGATTAAGGTCCCAGAGGGTAGGTCCAGCGTCAACGTGAAATCTTTGTCAAGCTCGGAATGGCATTTTGAGCAACAAAAGACGTTTGATCTGACCACTTCTCCATGCATAAAATTACTTGGCACCAAGGGAAACTTTGTGAAGCAAGCACTGACAGAAACGATAATGTGACATGGCTCTGGCCGATACGTCGATGCCCACGGCCAGGAAGCAGCACCACGCGATAATTTTCACACAGCCATTTGGAGAGTTTATGATAACAGTCATCCACAAGACTACGAATCTTCTTTTGAATCCGTAGCATGGCATGACGAAGTTTATAAGGTTTATGCTTAATGGCTAGTTGCGCGTTTACTTCACCCCATTCCACAACCAGTCCATTCGGATCGTAACTTGTCATGAATGTATGCACACCTGGATCCAGTGCTATTACCTCCATCCTTCTTGTGCTTCAGAGAATGCAAGGCTTGGCTCGCACCTCAAGCGCCTGGAAAATTACCAATATGGGTCATCACAAGACAGCTATCATATTCAGGCTTTTCTGGAAGAGGTTCTGCTGTCTTGACCTTGCAGAGAAACGTGTATTCACCACGGGACCTTAGGAAATACGTAACGCAGGTTGCATTTTGGCTATTTTGGCTGATGATTACCAGCCAGAATTACTACATTGGGTAATTTTGGCTGATGATCATCAGCCAAAATGGCCAAAATGCCAACTCTGCCGTAACGGACTGCTGGTGGTCTTGAACGGGATTTCCTTTACGCTTGGCAGCAAAGTTGCTTTCAGCAGTTCATTCATTGCCTCGTCCCATACAGCATAAGGTGTCTTCAAAATCCACTTCAGTTTTGTGTTGTCCTCAAAGTTTGCGGTGTTGAGGCACCATGCCCGTAGAACCTTCTTTTTCCACCACGACGAGGCATTGTCGTGTCACCTCCATTCACCACCTGAGGTATTTAGCAGCGTAACGTAGTCTATTGTGTCGCGCCACAAACACTTCCGCGAGCAATTAAAACGGATTAAAGTAATAATTCACCCAATAAACCGGATTTTGTACTATAGAACGAAGCTCTCCGGTCTAACGACATTTGACTGTATCTTTTTGAATAGAACAAAATATATATATCTGGCAAACGAGGTCGATAAGAGCGTATATATAAAAATCGCATGCTTTTAATGACGTTGCCGACTTTTTTACATAAGAAGTTTGGAAGCTGTTAGAAACAGGAAAATTAACAAAATCTGTCGAACGATCTTTCAGAGTTACATTCCATTTTGCGAGAAATAGTTCGAGAAAATTAACAGAGCTCGAATCGGAAATTTAATTGATATAAAACAGAAGTGTATAATCATTTTTCACCAGCGCAAATTTCTTTTAAACCTTCTAAATAATGCGATAAATTCCTGACTCATACATAAATAATTGACCGCACACGAAAAATAATACGAGAAAAACAAAACAAGATATTACTATATAGAGTAACGTGTCCCTATATTATTAAATGGGCATGCTGCAACAAAAACCATCACGTGATATACAAAGATCTATATAATTTTCGCGTTTCGGATTTGTTTTGCCGGGCTGATAAACAATTTACGCATCCTTATTGGTTTGTGTTTCGGACTGATTATTGGATGTACCCGGCTTTAAGTTTATTTTTCTGTCGTAAAAAATAGGTATATACTACATCGAAAAAACAAAACAGTAGATACGCGAATAAATATCTATATAATAATGTTATTATATAGGAGAAACGAACGTACGTTGTCATTGTCATTGGATTTTGCCTATATGCTCTTGAACATTTTACTGGAATAGTTTTCTTTCAAAAGGTCTGTATTATTTTATTAATAAATAATAAATAACTTATAAATTTAACTTATTTTTTTTTGTTCTACGCGGTTTTTTTAGGTCAGTCCAAGTATAATTTTTTCTCTTAAAGCATACTGCTAATTCTTGTTAAGCGAAGAAGAAGCGACAGATACCAGTAATGGCGAGTCACAGAGCATGGGGTGACCGGCTTTCTTTTTTGTAAAGAATTATGCAGGGGGTGAACGATTTTTGTGTTAGGAATACCCGCACCATTTTAACAATTGCTTGATTAACTTCGTTCTAAAATACTCATCATTGTTTCTTTTGCTGTCGAGCTTTTTTATCATGTCAAATATATTAGGAAAAGACACAAAGATTATCTAGAAAGAAATATTAATTGGATGATCAGAAGTAATGATCAGACACCACTGTAATTTTTTCGTTTTATTTTTCCAAAGCAACGTAATATAGCAATTTTAACTAAATATCTTTATTATTTTTAGAGGGGAGACGCAAAGCTTAGCATCAGCATTAGTAAAAAATTTGGATCAGAACCCCACTGGTAGAAGCATCATAGGTTAAAAATGCGATTATCGTGTTCATAAGGGTGGTTTTGAATATGTAATTGGACTGAGGTCTGGAGGACTACCTGAGGCAGCCAAATCAAAAAAATGGGGAGATAAGGTTGACCTTGCTGTTGCAATGAGAAACGTTTTACTAAAAAAAGGACTTGAAAGCAATGGAGTAGATACAAAGAATTTTAGGAAAATTTTTATTCTGGGAATGCATAGCTACGATAAGATATACAAAGATTACTGAGAACAGTTTCCAAGGCAGAAAACTGACTTTTTTTGAATATTCTAGGATACAAATACAATGTTTATGGAATTGACTGGAAAGCCAAGGACCTTTGGCGATTTGGATTACTTCAAGAAACGAAATTACCACAAACTATCAACCAATTGCCAATGATCGAAAAGATCATCGCTTTGTTGTTGAGGGTTGAGGTTGGTTTAAATGTTTATCTATTTGCTAATCACAATATATTCACAATTAGTGTTGCTGGAAATATAGTTATTTTTGACAAAACCAGATTATATTGCAATCGAAGAAACTTGGAATATTATATGCCATATTTAGATGTGTACTGTAGGAAGAACTTCTAGAACAAGAACAGTGAAGAAATAATGTTTTATGAATGAAATTGCTTTTTAAAAGATAAATTTAATTGAAAGAAATATGACTTTATTAGCAATGAATTTTAGTTCACATTTTTATTTTGTTTTACATATATAAGAATGATCGAAGTTTTTTATGCAAACAATTTTCTTATTTGTATTTTTTTTGTTAAGATTGTCAAGATTTTTATAATAAATTGAATATTAACTTTTCATTCAATATTAAATTTAATATTAAATTATAAAAAAATTTGTAAAGTGAATATAAAATCATATATGGAGTTATAGGTAAGGTTGCTTGCCAAAATTCCTTAGTGATCATTAAAATTCTGTCAAAATTATAATAAATAGCCTGTCAAAATTCTGATGAGTTTTGAAACCCATCATAATCAAAATTATGCTGAAATTCCAATTACTTTTTTATATATCTATAACTAAAAATGCTTGCCTAATTCTTTTAGAAAAATATTGTCATAATTTTGACAAATTATATATCAAAAAAGCAATTGATTTTTTTAGAAAAAATTATAATTGTTCTTCAAGAAAGAATTTGCAAAATTATATGAATTCTTTCAAGCTTTTTTCAAGTTTAAACCAGATATATTTTTAATAACTAAATTTAAAATAATAAATAATGGATTAACAAATATTAACAAATGATTTAAAAGAAAAACCAAATTTAATAAAAAAACTTTTATTATTGAAATTATAATATATTTTTTTATCAAAAAATTTATTTTAATATACTGTAAATTAGTATAACTCACTTTTAAACTATCAAAAATTATTTAATAAATTATAATCTTATAACAAGAATTTATAACAATATAAAAAAATATCTTAATGAAAAACTAAAATAATAATTGATAAAAATATTAAAAAAAAATTTTTGAAAATTTATGCAAAAGTTCATAATTTGTCAAGTTCAAATAAAGATATTAATAAATAACTCAATTAGTTATATTTCTATTAGCTAAAATAAATTATAAATTAATATATAACTTTTTGTCTAATTTGAAAGAAAACAGTAATTTAAAGTTCTTAAAATATAATATTTTAGAAAGTTATAATATTAACTGTTATCAAAAATTCAAATTATAAATTTAAGAACTAATTATATAATATTTATCAATATTTTTAAAATAATTTATTATATTATAATATTTATTAACAAAAAAAAGCTAAAGATTTATTCAAAAGATTTAAAAAATATTATAAAAATACTAAACAAAGAAAAATAATTGATTAATATTTTTTATTATAGTTACAATTAAGTTTAAAATAGGGTTCCGAAAAAAAGTCTGGTTCGGTTTGAGTCTGGTTCAGTTCGAGCTTGAACTGAACTCAAACCTGACGAAAAGTCCAGTTCAAAAATTCGAACCTAATTAAAAGTCTGGTTCGAGTTCAGTTCGAATTTCGAACTTGACTCGAACCTGATCAAAAGTTCAGTTTGAATTCAAGTAAATATTTGTTGATGTTCTAAGTAAAGTTGTAGATCGTAACATGAGCTACAAATTGATATAAGATAGTTA